GTCCTGTAACTTAAATGCAATGTAAGTCGCTTTGGATAAAAGCATCTGCCCAATGCATAAATGTAAAATATAAATCTTTTTTTTTTTTTTTGCAGGGTAACTGTTTTACTCACCGTGTCAATAACAAAACATTTTGAAAATAAAACGTGCATATCTTAGTTTCCTTCAAATTCTATCTTTTAAACATGGTGTTTGTCACAATATTGGGAAGAGCAGGAAAGGGGTTATCATTAGGCTACTGTCTGTGTGCGACACCTGTGAACAGAGGTTTTAGAGTACTGTCATCAAACCTGTTCAAACCAGCCGATGGACTATTTGATCAACAAGTGCATCCTTATGTCTCTCGTTACTGCCTATGTTCCAAAGCATCAGACGGATCAAGTTCACATCATTGATCATTATTCACGCAAAAGTATTTTCTCAGAACATGAGTTTTGCTATTTAGAGCACAATTTAAAGTGGAATTGTCACACGCCAAGCAATCCTCGCTGTGATTAAAACATTAAATCGCATACCACAGGAAAATTGTTCGAAAGTAGCACATCCACTGCAAATATTTCTGTTTAAATTCATATAAAAATGTTGTCATTTCTGGATAATAATTTCATGAAATTTCAGTGTTTAACTGCATTATCGAGAGTGTCATATTTAATCTAAATGTGTATGTCAAATGTAAAACAGACTTTAAAATCATCCTATTTGCTTCATTATTTCGCTCACTCCAGTAAAAGAGTGCGTACGCATGGTCTAGAGCAGTGTTTCTCAACCCTGGTCCTGGGCGCCCCCCAACACTGCACATTTTGTATGTCTCCCTTATCTGACACACCCATTTCAGGTCCTGGAGTTTCTTTTACTGAGATAATGAGTTGAATCAGGTGTGTTTGATTAGGGAGACACACAAAATGTGCAGTGCTGGAGGGCGCCCAGGACCAGGGTTGAGAACCACTGGTCTAGAGTGTCCGTACGGTGCGCACATATTTACGCCTAGTTTATTTTCTATAAATCCTGATATGTGCGTGGACAATTGCGTACGCACATTTCCATGACCATTTTGTGCGTACGCAACGTTTATACATCAGGCCCCAGATGTCACTTAAGTGATGACTGACTCTTTTTAGCCTGTATTCCTGCATGCTCCTCGTGCTTGTTCTTCTGCGCTCTCTTCAGTCTTCAGCTCTTTGACTTCTTGTCCATGAATCTCTCTGCTTCTGGAAACACATTCTGATGTGAGATGCATGAGACGCACAGGTAAATGCACCCCGTGCAACATTCTGGCCTTTCTTTCCATGTGGGCATATCAATACTGGAAACCTGATGGACCGTATTAATAAAGGACGGTGATGTAATTTAATACATAATAATGAAAATGGACTCTCTTTAGAAATAGTTTTTTAGAAATTTGGACGTGTGTCAAACATCAACAGTTACTGTATGTCAAACTTTAAGCCGCATCTCATGACAAACACAGACTGCTGGCTGGAGGACTTTTCCTCACACAGATCGATGAAGATGTTCTCCTGCTCTCTGTCTCCAGTCCTCTTCTGAGGGGTCACTGCTCTCTGATAGAGGGACGTCAGCGAGCTGTTCAAGTGGTTTGTGTGCTGTTGAAGAAATGAAACCATTTACCGCATTCTGCCTAAAGTCAGCTCTGATGTTTCTTGATCTGTGACTGTTAACGCACTCACTTCATGCTCAGGAATATCATCCTTGCTGTCTGTGCTGTACTCGGTGACGAGACCCTTCTCCCTGAAACCATCAGCACAAAGCAGAGTTTGAAACACGTGTGTGTAAAATTACTGAATAATCTACACCACCAGTCAAAAGGTTTTGAACGGTAAGATTTTTAATGTTTTGAAAGAAGCCTCTTCTGCTCACCAAGCCTGCATTTATTTGATCCAAAGCACAGTAAAAACAGTAAAATTCTGAAATATTTTTACTGTTTAAAAGAACAGTTTTCTATGTGAATATCTGTTAAACTGTAATTTATTTCTGTGATCAAAGCTGTATTTTCAGCATCATTACTCCAGTCTTCAGTGTCACATGATCTTCAGAAATCAGTATAATATACTGATTTGCTGCTCGAGAAACATTTCTGATTATTATCAATGTTGAAAACAGCCGAGTAGAATTTGTTCAGGTTTCTATGATGAATAGACAGTTCAGAAGAACAGCATTTATCAGAAATAGAAATCTTTTGTAACATTATAAATGTCTTTATCATCACTTTTGATCAATTTTAAGCATCCTTGTCCTATCCCAACAAACCATACATCAACAGAAAGCTTATTTATTCAGCTTCCAGACGATGCATAAATCTCAATTTCAATAGACAAATCATTATATCATAAATACAGCAATAAAAGAGAAGCTGATATATATGTAAATATATAAAATACAAAACAGTCTGTGGAAAAATGGTTAAACCTGCTGCGTAAACGTCAAAAAGACAGTTTTCTGATGATGCTAACTAAAACAATTAAGTACATTAAAATGATTAGCGATCAGATTACATACTAGTATTTGTAAAATAGTGATACATTTTTGTGTTTTTATTGATTTCATGTTCAATTTCCTCTTTCTTCATATTACTACATTATTAGTTATTGTTGTTTATAATGTTAATGTTCTTTGAATGATAATAATAAGAAGAAAGCTTTAATTTTACCTGCTGGACTATGGCTGGACTAACCCTAACCATAAGTTAAAAAATGACTAAAAAAATACAGCTAACTAACACAATAAAAACATGATAACATAATAAAAAACATGATTTTTGAACATTTAAAAAAACGGAGTTATCTGTTTTTGCAAATAACCTCTTCAAATGTTTCTTTGTGACTCTCCATGACACTGTGCCTCGATTACAAAACAAAATGCTCCGATCAATCCTCAGACACGATCCAAAATAAACTATCCACTTGTTCCATACATTCGGATCCTTCTGATATCTGTACAAACTGTTTAAACCAAACGCGTCCAAGCGAAGGTTCTTTCTCTGCATTTGTCCTGACGACAGACTCCAGCGGGGGACTGTGTCCGAAAGTGAACCGCATCTGTGTACTGTATCCAGTGTAGACAGTGATCCTGATTTCTATTTGCTTTTGACGCGACGCGACACTCGCATTCAAGCGTGATCAGCGACTGAACGCCAGTGGGCGGGGCCTATGCTGAGAAGAAGACTATTGGTCGATTCAAACCACTGCACCTAGCTGACGTCATCTTGCTCCTGAGCAGTTTTTGGAGCTTGATGAAATAAATGCGTTGTTTATAATGAGGAGGACGCCTTAAGATACGAAACTTGTAGGATGTTTTAATGGTACAAAGACCTCTATATGCAAGGCAAATTTGATTTCTCATGTCACGACCCCTTTAAAAACGTGCTTTTGCGAATGACCATCTTTTATTAGCCCTTCACCCTTCAAACCTCCTAAACTGTAAATTGTTTGTTTGCATTATTAAGAAAGCACTGTCATCTTAAATTGGTTATATCTATTAATTCCAGTGTTTGGCATTTGACATATTACGGTAATATCTGGAGCGGCAATCACTATAAAATTATTTAGTAATTTAGAAACAGTTCAATAAGCAAAACTTTCGTTCAGGTTGCTTTATTATAGGCAATAAAGTTAGTTTGCATTTAATATTAATATTTAAAAATGGATACAATTCCTCCATTTGTTTTGCAAGATATCTTCTTTTGTAAGTGTGATTTAAATTCTCTTTTTTTTCGGATATTGTCAGTGTTGTTGTATTGTTGGGTAAATATCACATTCATACATGCAAATGGGGAAAAAAAATGTAAGCCCTCCTTTAATATATACAGTGTTTTTGGTGAGTTTGTGAAAATGTTTCAGAGCTTTTAAAAAAACTAAATAGAAAGTCTGAAACTCTTTTCCTCTCTATCACAATTTTTTTATTATTTTAATATGTTTTACACCTTTTTTTTTTTACTTCTAATGATTCTTGCTCCTTGTGTTATTTTTCCCTTAATTTTTGCTATTTTATGAGAGTATAATAATGATTATGAATGTTTATTATTCATATTATTTACGGTGGATGTGCTTATAGCTGTACAAAGACACGAACGAGCTGTTTAAACCAAACACGTAAAAGCGAACGTTCTTTCACTGCACTTTTCCTGACGACAGACTCGTATCTGTTTACTGTATCCAGTGTAGACGAGACAGCGCAGTGATTGTGATTTCTATTTGTTCTTGACACGACGCTCGCATTCAGCGTGATCAAGTGTTAAGCGACTGAACGCCAGTGGGCGGGGCCTATGCTGAGAAGAAGACTATTGGTCGATTCAAACCACTGCACCTAGCTGACGTCATCTTGCTCCTGAGCAGTTTTTGGAGCTTGATGAAATAAATGCGTTGTTTATAATGAGGAGGACGCCTTAAGATACGAAACTTGTAGGATGTTTTAATGGTACAAAGACCTCTATATGCAAGGCAAATTTGATTTCTCATGTCACGACCCCTTTAAAAACGTGCTTTTGCGAATGACCATCTTTTATTAGCCCTTCACCCTTCAAACCTCCTAAACTGTAAATTGTTTGTTTGCATTATTAAGAAAGCACTGTCATCTTAAATTGGTTATATCTATTAATTCCAGTGTTTGGCATTTGACATATTACGGTAATATCTGGAGCGGCAATCACTATAAAATTATTTAGTAATTTAGAAACAGTTCAATAAGCAAAACTTTCGTTCAGGTTGCTTTATTATAGGCAATAAAGTTAGTTTGCATTTAATATTAATATTTAAAAATGGATACAATTCCTCCATTTGTTTTGCAAGATATCTTCTTTTGTAAGTGTGATTTAAATTCTCTTTTTTTTTCGGATATTGTCAGTGTTGTTGTATTGTTGGGTAAATATCACATTCATACATGCAAATGGGGAAAAAAAATGTAAGCCCTCCTTTAATATATACAGTGTTTTTGGTGAGTTTGTGAAAATGTTTCAGAGCTTTTAAAAAAACTAAATAGAAAGTCTGAAACTCTTTTCCTCTCTATCACAATTTTTTTATTATTTTAATATGTTTTACACCTTTTTTTTTTTTTACTTCTAATGATTCTTGCTCCTTGTGTTATTTTTCCCTTAATTTTTGCTATTTTATGAGAGTATAATAATGATTATGAATGTTTATTATTCATATTATTTACGGTGGATGTGCTTTATGTTGCTGGATGTAGTAAGGACTCTAGCTGTAGCTTGTTTATTGAGGATGCAGGACTACGCAGTTTTCCTCGCATACAGCAGGTGGCGCTGTCCGACCGCAACGCGCACGCCATGACGTCACGCCGAAGCGCTGCGTGCGCGCTCCCGTGTTGACTCTCAGTAGAAAATGGCGAGTTGGAGCGCGAGTGAGAGGTTTATTATTCGCCGCGACGCGGACAGATGGAGGTCTGAACTCATCCACAGCGTGGGTAAGAGCAAAAAACAAAGCTTTCTTTGTGCACGCTGGTTTCATAGAAAGGTGAGCACTAATTCCTGCAGCTAGCATGCTAACGCTAGCCGTCAGGATCGGATAAGCCCCGCTCAGTCGTGCCTTTCCTTCATCGAGTAATCCTCGCAGATCAAGCCTATCTATCGCTTACCTGTGCGACACTCGGCCCGGTTCTCGTCTAGATACTGCGATGCATATAGCGTTGTGTAATAGCTCCAGGATAAGGCGCAGGGGCCCGTTCTTCATACGCGGCTAACTCAGTCAGCTGGATGTGATTGTTGAGGATTTGGCCCGATCTGGGATTGTTTGGTTCCTCGAAGCTGATCCCGGAGTTGCTGTCATAGCAACAGCTCCGTGAGCTTAAACCTGCTCTGGAGCAGCTTATTTCATGTAAACAGGACTAGATCGCATCTTTTTAAGCAGAACTGATACTTAAAATCTGTCCCAGCCACTGCTACTTTATCACAAGACTATCCTACTGATACAGGGACAGTCATTTACAATAATAATCATTAAAAAGTAATATAATAATGTTGTGTAGTCTATAATACTATAGACACGGCCAGTTTTACTCACTGAAAGATTAATAATCGCTTCATAATTGTATTGGAGTCTTCCACACACGCTGTACAGTGCATTCATTTGAGTGCTGGCAGATATTATGGGCGTGGCTTGCTGGAGCTGCAGGAGACGCTGACACTAAAGACACTTTCATTAATGCTGTCACATAACACATCTGCTCTGCTAATGAACTGCTAATTACAACAATGAAATAGAAATGTAAAACCTGTACAAATACTAGAAATCGTGAATATAAATAATTGTGAATCATGTAAAACATTTTTAAATAAAATAAAAACAGTGCACATTTCATTGATCTATTATAACATTTATGTAGTTTTGTTCGCTTGGATGTTTCCAGAAATGTGTCAAGTTTTTCCGTCGGGTGTTTTTTAATGTTATGATGTCATCACGTTGCTGTCGTGCCGCAGCCAATCGCTGATCGTGGTTTCCATACATCTGCCCTTTACGAGGAACACGAGAACACGCACTAATCTTAGACAACTTCATCCAGATATTTTAATCAAATCCACACATTCGTTTGAAGAACCAAATTAGCCAGAGATCAGTTATCAGGATTACTAGATCTGGCATCTTTCAGATCATCTCAGATGTGTTCAGCGAGGAACGAAGAACGGGCCCCAGGACAGTAAGGTTAGGGTGGATGAGGTGTTTGTGAGGTCCTGTGACGTCACGCGTGGGAACGACATCTGTCTGTCTGTCTGTCTGTCTGTCTGTCTGTGTCTGTGT